AGCACCCTAAAAGGTACAACTTTACAGGATTCTGGTGTGTATCAGATACTACTAATGTCCCACTGCCATCCGCCCACCCCTACCACATCAGTGCCTGCCCACCTAACTTCCAAATGCCGTCACCTGAATGACTTTGTGCTCTGTCATGAGAAGACTGGAAGTGATGGGGAATAAACACAACCACACACCAATACCACAACATACCCTCAACCAGTAACCGATGGCTGTTAGTAAGTAAACAGTGAGCTGCCTCCCCACAAGGTGGGATAACTCTGAGAAAGGTTTTTACACTGGGGTCTAGAATTTCCCAGAAGGATTAAGCTCCAGCTATCCTGATGATAGCTGGCTTCCTTCCCTCTCCTGTGTCAATTCCTCACTCCCCTACTGGCATATCCTGGGTCACTTCCCAAATAAACCATTTGCACTTGAATCCTTGCCTCAGGTCTGCTTCTGGGGAAACTCACACTAGGACGTGGTGGTTATCTCGCAGAATCCAACCACCGGAATTCCTTGCAAATCCTACTCTGAGTTACATCACCCCCATCTAAGAGGACGCCCCACATACAAAAAGGAAGTATTGACGGAGTTTGTTCTTCACTTCATGAAGGGGGTTCAAAAGAAGCAGGTTTGGTTGGTGTGGTATATTCTTTAGTTATGTGCCAAGAATCCCATCTTTTTTGGGAAACCACATCTGACATGTTCTGTAATAATCTTTCTCTGTTCGGTGGTTGAGTGGGACTGAAACCCATCTTTGGGAGGCTGAATAATGGCCCCCAAAGGTATCCATATCATATCTCTGGGACATGTGAATTGTACCTTCCCTGTCAAAAGAGACTTTGCAGATGTAATCACAAGTTAAGGATCTTGAAATAAACAGATAATCCTGGATTATCTGGGTGAGCTCTAAATGTAATTACAAGTATCATTATAAGAGGGACGCAAAGGAAGATTAAACTACAGAAGAGAGAGAAGGCCACGTGACAACAAAAGACGCAAAGAGAGACTGGAAGGTGCTATGTTACTGACTTTGAAGATGGAGGAAGAGGCCATGAGCCAAGGAATGCAGAGAATATGGCTCCATAAACCGCAAAAGACAAGGAAACAAATTCTCCTCTAAGCCTCCAGAAGGAACCAGACCTGCCAACACCTTGAATTTAGCCCAAGGAAATTGATCTCAGATTTGTAGCCTCCAGAACTATAAGAGAAAAACTGTGTGTGGTTTTAAGCCTCCGAGTTTGTAATTTGTTACAGCAGCCATTGGCAGCTTCGGCTGCCATTGAATTCTAGTCACCAAAGGAGAAGAGCCAGCCAAACAGAAGAAAGGTGAGCTGAGAGATGGGGAGACAAACATCTGATGATGTTTGAGGTCTTGAAGCTAGATCTACCTTTTGAGCTTCCGGTTATAAAAGCCAATCATTCCTGCCTTTGGTTTACCTCTATCGGGATGGATTTCTATGATTTGCAGCCCAAAGAGGCCTGATTAACATAGTTGGTATTCACACACTTCTATCTCTGAAAACAGTGAAGAACAGAAGGCAGCAGTAACAGTAAAGAGCAAAAGTGGCAGAGGCAAGCCTTACTATTTCAGGGGGTCCTTCGTGTCCTTCTAAGAAAGCTCCAAATGCTGCAGCCCTAAACAGAGAGCCCTTGGACAAGACACTCAAAATAACATGTAGTTTTAATCAGCACTATTTAACACTTAGTTTGATCCATACTGAGAGAGGCATGGATAATAATAATGAGGTATTTCAAAGATTTTTAAAAGGAAAAAGAAAAACCATTGACCCAAATAGGATGCTTGGTGATTCTGAATCAGTGCTATAAATGCTTATAAAAGAATATTAAGATGCTTAATTGCTGAATAAATGAAATATAAACATTCATTTTGTTACTTGGTGAGTTCTTTAATATGTAATGGGGAAGAACATTTTATTAAATGCACTGCAAGTGATAACGCTTGTTTCCTTTTCTAAAACAAATCAATTCTTAAGACCATTAACCACCATTTAAAGGTAACTATTTTTTCTATTGATTTCTCCCTTTTAATTTTTTTTTTTTCATTTGTGGAAGACAATAGGGTCATCCAGGAGATAAAGCAGCACAGTGGGACAAGCATGGAGTAAGGCGAGATCTCCAGTCAGAAGCCTTGGCTTTTAGCCCCACCTCTGTCAGTTTCATAGTTCTGTGACCTTGGCCGAGTCACTTAACCTCACTTGCCTTCCAGGTGTAGCATGGGACTACTACAAGGAGTCTTCCCCACTCCAGAGAGTTGTAGTGGTAAACACCTTCTAGGACCGTATCTCTCAGCCTTTGCTGTGCATAGGAATCCCCTGGGGAATTCCAAATTTTGCAAGAGTTTTGCAGATTCTTGTTAGGTTTGGCATGGGACCGAGATTTGCATTTCTAATAAGCTCCCAGGTAATGTTGATGTTGCCACTCCACCCTTCTGGGTAACAAGGTTTTAGAGCGTCTTCCAGGCTCACAATGATTTCCTGTCTCTAGAAAACTGTCCCAGTTTATAGCAGGGGGCCATTAATAGTTGTTCCTGTACCCACTTGCCATCCCTGACTATAGTAGAGGTGACTTCTGATCCAACCTGGGCCAGAAGAAAGTCTCACCTGCTAATCTGGTTTTGAACAGAGACAACCAGAGATGTGATGTTTCCTCACTTATTCATTCAGCAATTCTTTTTCAATTCTCTCTATGCCAGACCCTAGTACAGGCAGTGGAGACACACCAGTCAATAAAGCAGGTCTCTGCCCTCATGAAGCTTTCACTGTAGTAATATACAAGATGGGCGATTTTTTCAGATTTCAGATGGGCGAAGCACTGGGTAGGGCTTGGAGAATTTCAAGGGTTGCAGGAGACCTCGTTTAAATAGGCGTGTTGGGGAAAACCAAGCTCTTGCTTCCCTTTCTGCAGGAACCTCGGAGGCCAAAGGTTGAAGATGATGGCACAATGAATGAAAGAAGGCTGGGTGCCTGCGTGATGAGGAGGAGAGCCACTCTCCCCTTCCCTGGAGACTGAACCGGACTGTGAGGAGAGTGAGACATAGGCTTTTACTGCACTAAACCACCGAGATTTCAGGGTTTATCTATTATAGAAGCTAGCACTGCTTACCATGAATAGATAAAAATTGTTCAACTCTTTCCGAGTTTCTAAAAATTGCTCTTTTTTCACTTAAATTAGCTAGAGCTACTCTCTACTACTTGAAACCCAAAGAACCTTAACGGATACAATTTCTGCGAGAATCTGATCAGCTAACAGGTGTGCAAGTGCTTTGTAAAGTATAAGGTGTTGCACACCTGTGAGGAATTATTACTGCAAACTGACTTTTCTGAAATGTACCCGCTGTCCGGATATATTATTGGGGCAGGAGGAACTAAACAAGCATTGATACAAAACTCACACTGAGGTCAGTTTCTTTCTTGGGTCAATTTTATCTTAGATTTCTTCTTCAGAACTTTACAACAGCCACTCACTAAACTGCAGTGAAAAATAAGGAAGTAATTATAAAGTTTGTAATTTTCCTTTAAAACGTAAGTGCTTAGATTTTTGAAAGAGTCCTTGGTGACATAAGAATAGTAACATTTAAATTGGCCACACTTCTTCTTATGTGCTATCAACATGCAGTAAATCTGGGCATCCCTCAGAGGACCTTGAAATACCCCAAAGGAAATGCGTGTTCTGTACTACATCTTCAGAGGGCTCTCTTCTTCCTTGGCTACTGGTCTCAAGAGCATGTCACTGGTGTCCCAGCTCCCTCACTAGCCTTCCTCTTTCCTCTTTTCTAATCTTTGTGCAGCCAGAGCAAAGCTGTTTCTTAAGACCACTTGATACAACCATATCTCAGTTTCCTAAGACTTAAGGATGGGTCACAGCTGAGGTCACAGGCAGACAAGTTCAGAGCGGCCAATGCTGAGGACTTAGCTTTCTTCACCTGGCCTTCATTAATTTGTATATCCCAGGGTTTGAGGTGTGCTGGTGACTGCTCTGAGTGAAAACTTAGCAGTAAATGGCACACTCCATACAAACCTCTTTGAGTCTGAATGCGGCAAGAGCAGCATATGAAGTCAAAATCTCCAACCTTGAGCCGCCAAAATGAAATCCTCCCCAGCCAGGGATCCATTCGTGTGTGTGTGTGTGTACACAGAGTCTGCGACTTCCCAGAGAATCAGACTCCTGATGAGGAGACAAAAGATGGGCCTCTCAGGGAGACCTTTGAATGAGGATGCCAACCTTCTTTTCTATATGGCTTTTAAGTCCTTGGTTCCTTCAGCAACAAAGGGTTAGTCTTGGCATTCTTGCCTGCTCAGTGACCAGGAGTGGAACTGAAAAAAAGCAGGGAAAATCAGGGGCACAGGAAGACATATGGACACACATAAACGTGGAAACTCAGAGATAAATAGAGACTTTAAAAAATAATGGAGAGTGAATATTCAGGAGTCTGATGGAGCCTCATCCATTATCCATGCATCCATTATCCACCCATCTATCCATCCATCATCCATTCATCATCCATCTATCCATCTATCCACCCACCCACCCATCCATCCATCCATCCATCCCTCCATTCAGGCAACACTGATGGAGCTGAGCCCCTCCTATTTATGAGGCACTGTCTGTGCCCAGCATGGGGAGTACGCAAAGGCAGAGGTGGAAGTCTAATGGCAGATAGACCAATATCTGGGAATAGCAGTGGGAGTAGACCCCGAAAGGTCACTCGCGAAGCTGGAATACATGGGGCGAGCACGTGGGGGAGAATGAACCTTCCGCCTCAGCACAGGTGAGGGTGGACGAGAAACCTGCACATCATAGACATGCCTAGACCTCCGGGCTTCCTAGAGAGGCCCAGATGCTGGGGAGGCCGGTCCGAGAACTCGGGCGCCGAGCGGGGGCGGGGCGGGGCGGGGGGCGGGGCGGGGTGCTAAGGTCTGAGCCGTCCGCCGCCGCCGCCGCCGCCGCCGCCGTCGCCGTCGCCGACGTCGTGAGTTTGCCCGGGATAGGAGGGGAGACCCCCTGCGGGGACCCGGGCTTGGCTGGCTGCCGCGATCACTCGTCGGGGGCGGCCGAGGGCGAGCCCAGTGCAGCTGCGGGGGTGGCCGCCGCGGTGGGACGAGCCCAGCGGCCGGTGGTCCCCTGCGCGGGTGGCGGGGACATCCTCCCCTGTTCACTTCTTTCGGATTCCAAGGAGCCGGGTTCGGCGTGGCTTCCCAGAATGTCGCGAAAGCCTCAAACGCTGCCTGGCCTCTGATTCCCTTTTTCTTTTTATTAAAAGACAGCAGGCCCCAAGCTCACAGCTTTCAACAGGCACCTGTAACTCGTTAGACTGACCCATATCTTTTGTCACCACCCCACCTTTTGGGAAGGTTACCTTGTCTGTGACAAATGATTCTGGTTTCCCATTTAAGGTGGCAAGGTAAGGTTGGCACTTAAAATGAACGTGTTTCTTGTAAAATGGTGAGTAGATTTAAATAAAACATAATGGGTGAGTAATAGTACCAGAAGTTCCGGTTGTGACGGAAATTGTCAAAGTGGTAAGTCAACAACCTGCATTGTCCCAACCCAGCTGGCGGGTCCTGCAGACCTGGCTTCGAGCCCTGGGTGCTGAGCAGCCACTCACGACCTGCAGGAGCCAGGAGCCAGTCTCTTTCTTCTTTTTCTTTTTTCTTTTCAATTTTTTTCTTCCAGCTTTATTGAGATATAATTGGCATTATAACATGTAATTTTAAGGCGTACGATGATGATGTGATGTCCGTATATATGTGACATACCCACAGGAAGTTTAGTTAACATCTCCCTGACCTCATATAATTAGAACTTTTGTGTGTGGTGAGAACTTTAAAGATTTTTTCTTTTAGCAACTGTCAAGGTTATTGTTAACTGTAGTCACCGTGCTGTGTATTAGATTCCCAGAAATGATTCTGTCTTATAACTGGAAATTTGTGTCCTTTGACCAACATCTCGTTTCCCCCACCTCCCAGCCCCTGGTAACCACCCTTCTGTTTCTATGAGTTCAGCTTTTTTTAGATTCTACATATAAGTGAGATCATATAATATTTGTCTTTCTCTGTGTGACTTATTTCACTTAGCATAATTCCCACAAGTTCTGTTCATTTTGTCAAAAATAGCAGGATTTCCTTTTTTATGGCTGAGGAATATTCCATTGTATAGGTACTGTATGCCACATATTCTTTATCCATTAATCCATTAATGAACACTTAGGTTGTTTTCATGCCTTGGCTATTGTGACTAATGCTGCAATGAATGTGGGGGCACAGATAGACATATTTTTGAGACAGTGACTTTATTTACTTTGGATATATACATGGGCAAGTTTCTTCATCTCTGAGCCTTTTTTCTCATATCTGAAAAGCTGAGGCTAATAATAACTACCCCAGAAGATCGTCCTGAGGCTTCAGTGGTAAACCTTTAAAGCCTTTAGAGCACTTAGTCCATATTAAATCATAAATGTAGCCATAGTTGTTATTTTCATATTAGTGAGGAGGAAACAGGATCAGAGAGGTTCAGAGATTTGCCCAGAAGGGCACAAGGAATTGGTGAGAGTAGCACGTCCAGGACCCACATTTTCTTATTTCTAACCTAGGAAGCTTAATCTTGCATCCTCGCTACCCCTGCCTCGTGGGAGGAGAGGGGGCGCCTCCTCCGTGGCCCTCCAGTAATTGGAGGGGCCCTATGAGGTTGCAGAATATGTTAGCTGTGAAAGCCCCCATAGGACTCAGGTCACCATAGGGTTGCTGCTCCCGGTGATGGACTCTGCACAGCCCCGGGTGCCTGTTGTGGTTGAGACATAAGCTGGGGAGTCAGACAGACCTGGGTTCCAGTGGGTACACATCTCTGCTCTACCATTCACTAGCTGTACTAATAGTAAGTATCGTCTTGGAGGGTCGTTAGGAGCATCAGGGAGAATAATTCACGGAAAGGGCCTAGCGCAATGCCTGGCACACAGTAAGTGCTTAATAAATGGCAGCTGATGCTGCTTTGCAGGGTTGAAGTGGCGGACACGCGGGCCTGGAGAGGAGAGGAAGCACGAGTGTGGTGCTCCTTGCCAACACGGCAGAAAGGGGCGTTTGAAGAGGTTGCAGAGTGCTCATTCCCTTTATGTTTATTGAGTCCACGATCTGCCAGATACTCCTTGGCCCTGCAGATACTCCTGGGGAAACGGCCTCTGCTCATATGGAGTGTAGTTTGGGAAGCAGATGGGAAAGGCAATTATAAAATTATTTAATTACTTTTGTCATAAGCATCATGAAGAATTGTGAGGATCTTTTGTGCAACAAATATGTGGGTAAAAGGAGTTTGAGTGGACAGCTGGACCAGATTTGATACACCTGAGCTGATGAGCATTAGCTGCCCTGGCTTTACCAAACCTGAAGTGAGTTCGCTCACTTGTTGTGCAGCAGGCCAATCTCTGACACCGGGTGTGGAGGAAGAAAGTAGGAATTTTATTTTTGCACAGCGCTGAGCAAGGAGAGAGGGCAGCTAATGCTCAAATCCCAAACTCCTCGAAAAGCTAAAAGGAAGGGTTTTTATTTGGGGTTTTAGGTGGGGGCAGGGGAGCATATGGCCTTGCTGGTCGGAGCTTTCCCACCAGCCTGTCTTTGGCCTTGAGACACTTGCAGAGAGGAGGGAGCCTATGACCTTGCTGGTCAGCAGCTTTCCCACCAGCCTATATCTCTTCGAGGGGAGAAGATAATCCAGGTGCTTGTCCCTTGACGGTGTCTGTCTCCATGGAGGATAGTGGATTCTGGAGCTAGGAAGCCAGAGAGTAAGCAGGGAATGAGTGTTTTGGTTTTAACCCCATATATGCTGGGTTTAATGTGGGGAAACTGATATCAGGGTCGGTATCACTGGCACCTTGATTATATTCAGAAGAGTGTGTGCAAAGGCCTCTATGTTTGGGTATGTCAACTTCCCACTTGATGCTATGCCCATAGTTAATTTTCTTCAGAAATGTGTTTGGCTTTACACCTTGCATCCCTTTTACCTGTATCAGAGTTCCTCTCTTTATCATCTCTAACCACTTCATCTTTATTGCTTTGACTGCTCTTTGTTAAACACAAATAGTTTTCAGATCACGCGTGGAATTTGAACAACACCATTTCTAAGCCCTCTAGCCTCAATGTCCATCCGGTCAGAACACAGCTACCTTTTGCCTCTAGTCAGTACTTGGGGCAGTGATTTAAAACACACCGTCAGGGGCCGGCCCCGTGCCCAAGCAGTTAAGTTCGTGTGCTCTGCTTCAGCAGCCCAGGGTTTTGCCAGTTTGGGTCCTGGGTGCAGACCTAATACCATTCATCGAGCTGTCCCACATAGCAGAACCAGAAGGACCTACAGCTAGAATATCCAACTGTGTACTGAGGGGCTTTGGAGAGAAGAAGAAAAAAGGAAAAAAAACAAAAAAGAAGACTGGCAACAATGTTAGCTCAGAGCCAATCTTTAAATAAGAAAATAATGCTATCATAGGTTAAACTACCTAGAGATATTTGTCTTTTCCTTAAAGTACATACAGTAAATTTTTGTTTTTCTGACAGCAGTCTTCAATTCTCCTCTCTGTTCCATACTCTAGGGGCACCTGGATTTGTATATTACATTATAATACCAGGGAGTTCGTAGCATCGTCATCTTGAACTCATGGGATGAAGGAACTGTGCATAATCTAAGGTTCTTATTACTGATCCTTAGCATTTAATTAGGTCTTTGTAAATCTAAAGTACTCCTCCTCATTTTTATGACTTTCTTCTCAGAACTTCCCTGTGAGATGTCAACTTTATTGCCCTCACTTTATCTTAGTATTATCAAGAGGTCAGGCAGATTTTAAATTTCATTTTTTCCTGTTTGTAATTAAGGTTCCTTTTTCTTGATCATATACTCAACTTTAACCTATGTCTGCTAAAACGACTGCTCAGGTGAGATGGTGCTACCCTCTCCCCAACCCTCCCCAGAGGAAAGCAATTACTGAACAAAGCCACGTTTTGGAAGCCTTAAAGCTATTGCGATTATAAACGCTGGTCTGAGTGCCCAGCCCTGGAAGGAATCAGATGGAAATTAATTAATAAAACAGAAGCCGTAAAGTCTGTAAAAATGTGGGAGCTGGTTGAAGGAAAACCGTGTATCCTCTTTCTCTCCCCTCTGGCCTAGCGTTCATGGAAATTTCTTGCGGTTTTCCGGGAAATGTGTTTGCTGTGATTTTTCTGCGCTTATTGATGTCGGGAGCCAGGAAGGGAGGGAGTGGTTCCTGGGTAATACCATTAATGGCTGGTAGTCTACGAAGGTTTTACCGGTGCTGTTTGTCTCGCTAAATGATTAGTTTTTCCTTACTCATTGCCACCTTTCTTGTCTGACCCTCCTAATCAGGTCAGTTAAGCAAGCTCTTACCTCAGATCGTTCTGGAGTCTGTTGGAAGGTAATGAGGAGTCGCATGAATAGGCCTGGCAGGTACCCTGAAGCATTAATAATTTGAACTTGTACATTCCTGGCGTGATTAATGTGCACATGAGCCATGATTGACCTGTGGTCTCATGACTGGACTGGAATGTGCAATTTTAGAAACAAAGGATGTTAGAGATGAAGAAGAATTTCTGTTGGAGTTTTCTTAATTGGACTCTTTGAAGGTTTGTCCATTTTCTGAATCCCTTACAGTGGAATTCTTGTGGCGATAATAAGAATATCTTAAATTTTGTTATCTGGCATCCTATTAATCAAAACTCTATTAAGCAGACAGAACATTTCTGAAACCCGTGTGTGCTCTTTCGGTTAATGACATCACCTTCCTCAGACTTCACCTGGACGCTGTCCGCTGTCACCCCATTGAGTACCTGCCAGCTCTCATCGTAATTCAGCTGAGCACCCTGGCATCTCGTCCTGCCTGAGAGCCCTCCAGCTCAGCGCCCCATCCCCCTTACCCAGACTCTTCCGTTTCCAGCCTCTCCCTCCTCCAGGAAGCTTGATCTTTAGCAAGGACCACAGTGAGCGCATCCTTCCTGTAAAACCTACAAACGCTTTCTCTTGTCTGCAGAACAGAATGCAAACTCCCCCAAAGTGGACTTGAAGCTGTCTCTGAGCTGATCCCAGGCTGTCCTACCCCCCATATCCCCCGGTACTCCCTTGGGCTTCAGGTGGCACTCCAGCCGCAGCAGACTCGCCACGCTAGTTGCCCAACACAGCCTTCCTTCCCTGATGCTCTTCCACTCATTTCTGATGCTCCGTCAGCCTGTGGTAACCCTCCGCCTCATCTCAGCCTGCTCACATCCTCCCATTGTCCTGATTCAGCTCTAATGCTCACTCCTCAGGGAGTTATTATTAGCCTCAGCTTTTTGCTGATCTGCCCTTCAGAATCAATTTCTCCCCACCCCACCTCGGTGTTCGCACAGCACCTTGTTTACACCGACGTTATAAAGCACTGTTGTTTTCTCCCTTTTGCCTGGTGCTTTAGATATTTGAGATAGCCTCTCTCCTCCGTCATACCCTCCAGAATGCAGGAACGCTGTCTCACTGAGCTTTATGTCATTTTCATTCCATAACCCAGGACTTTCTAGGAGATAAGTTTAATTAAAATGGCAGTGTTCATTGGCATACACACCAATGACGTTTAGACAATGCGGGGCCCTGCATAATTTGTGCCCATCATAATTTTACTAAATGAGATATATTTCACAGTGTTCAAAATCATCCATAAATTCAGCAAATACTTGTGGAGTATCTGCCGTGTTCTGGGTTCTGGTAGGGACACACCAGTGAAAAAAAGCAGAAGGTCTCAGGTCTCTTGGAAGGAGATCAATCGTAAAAAAAATAGACAAATAATTTTAGGTAGTGAAATGTGCCACAAAGAGAACAAAGCAGCATTTAAGGTAAGGGGGAGCTCTTTTGCACTGAGTGATCAGAGAACCTCTGTGAGGTGAGGAAATGACATTTGAGCAGACCTAAATATTGAGAAAGATGCAGCCAGGCAAAGACCTGATGGAGCAGTTTCCCACTGAGGCAAAACAGGAAGCATGCTTTGGTCTCAAGGCACGAATGAGCTCAGCATCTTTAAGGAAAGGAAGGAATGTCCAGTAGTTGGAGGGTAGAGGACGGATGGAGGAGGAGTGTGAGGTGAAGACAGAGAGGGAGATGGCAGGTCATAGAGGTGAAGGTAAGAAGTCTGGATTGAAATGTCGGTGGCTAACATCTCCTGCGTTTGGAAACAGCATCTGTAACAAAGTCATGTGATTATGTCAAATACTAGAATTGACTACATTTGGTTTTATGGGTACTCCAAATCCAAATGGGAGTGTTCTGCATGCAGAAAGTAATAGAATCATAAGGTCACTGTTAGGCATATTAAAGGATGCTGGTGTGTTCATTCTTGATGAATTTTCTTATAAACACAACTGTGACAATTGCTTAGTCAAACTGTTGGAATCCATCAACCATTCTCCACACCGTTTTGCCCAGTTTTTCCTGATATGTCTTACTCTTCTCTTCCATATACTCTCAGGCCACTGAGACAGTCACTTACTGAATCTTGTCTTCACCCGTCACACCGCTGATTTGTGCATGAGTCATCTGATTAGCTTATCTGGCCATCTGATCTGCTTAGTACGGTTATCCAGAAGAACTTGTCAGACTTTTTTGTAACCTCGTGCTTTTGGGAGACCTAATCATGGTATGGGGGAATGTAATGGAATCATTGAATCCCCAAACTCTAGAGCTTGAAGAAAAGGAAATTTGAACAATGACATCCATGGAACACCTGTACTGTGTCGGGCATTTTATTGGGCATATGTATACACTATCCCATTCAGTCTTCATAAGCCTGTGAGCTTATTATCAGCTCAACTTTTTAGAAGCAGCGGTAGACTCAGAGGGATCAGTAACAGTACTGCATACTTCTTTCTTGCAGGTCCAGTGATCTTTTGACTGCCACATATGGACTCCCAAAAATCTCCGAAGGAAACTGTCCTCATTACCGGAGGAGGTGGCTATTTTGGTTTCCGGTCAGTGCATCTATAAGATATGCCCATGGAATTATTTTACTGGTAGTTGCTGAAAACAGTATAGCTTTCAATTCTGATGTTAATACAAGATAGACACTTACTTGTTTGTGTAATGTTAAACCAGAAATCAACTGTGGGGCCCAATGCTCGGATATTGAAATTCAGAACCACAGATATATTCCACTTTAAGAAAAATTCTCTATAGAGCCGTCAACTTGGGGAGGGGAGATTATTCATGTCACCAAAAATAATTTAAAATAATAGCTATTCTTTCACAGTTATGTTGTCATTCATGAATATTTCAAAGAATAGATGGTGGGTCCTAGAAGTGAGGGGGAAAAATGTAACATCTAGATGCCATGTCTTTGAAGATAAAGCCTCTCTCATGTTAATTTAAGTAGATGTGAGGATTCTCATTTTTTAATATTTGCATAAGTAAGACTTGCACCAATGAACATGTAAATTGAGGAGTCAGGATAAACCAAGAAAACTTGGATCTGCCCCACATTGATTGGTAAATTATTTTAAGCACCTTTCCTAGGCATAGCTCAGTAGTGATTTGATTTAAGTGTTTTTACTTTCTCATCTCAGCCTGGGCTGTGCTTTGAACCAGAAGGGAATCCATGTGATTCTGTTTGACATCAAGAGCCCTACTCAGACCATTCCAGAAGGAATCAAGTTCATACATGGAGACATTCGCCACCTCTCTGACATAGAGAGAGCCTTCAAGGGGGAGGATGTCACTTGTGTGTTCCATGTTGCTTCGTATGGTATGTCAGGGAAGGAGCAACTGGATCGAAAGTTGATTGAAGAAGTCAATGTGGGGGGCACAGACAACGTGCTCCAGGCTTGCAGGAGGAGGGGGGTCCCAAGATTAGTTTACACTAGCACTTTCAATGTCATCTTCGGAGGTCAAGTTATCAGAAACGGAGATGAATCTCTGCCTTACCTACCTCTGCACCTCCATCCTGATCATTACTCTCGGACCAAATCTATCGCAGAGAAGAAGGTGCTGGAGGCCAATGGGACGGTCCTGGAAGGAAGCAATCGTGTCTTGAGAACCTGTGCTCTAAGGCCGGCTGGCATCTACGGGCCTGGAGAACAAAGGCACCTCCCCAGGATAGTGAGCTACATTGAGAGGGGCCTGTTCAAGTTTGTGTTTGGGGATCCCAAGAGCCTGGTTGAATTTGTCCATGTGGATAACTTGGTGCAGGCTCACATTCTGGCCTCAGAGGCCCTGAAAGCTGACAAAGGCCACGTTGCCTCTGGAGAGCCCTACTTCATCTCAGATGGCAGGCCTGTGAACAGCTTTGAGTTCCTCCGGCCTTTGGTTGAGGGCCTGGGCTACACCTTCCCATCCGTCCGCCTGCCATTGACCCTCATCTACTGCTTTGCGTTCCTAATGGAGATGGCCCACTTCATCGTGCATCGACTCTACAACTTCCAGCCCTTCCTCACCTGCACTGAAGTGTACAAAACTGGCGTCACACATTACTTTAGCCTGGAGAAAGCCAAGAAGGAGCTAGGTTATGAGGCTCAGCCGTTTGACCTCCAGGAAGTGGTGGAATGGTTTAAAGCCCGTGGTCATGGCAGAAGTCCTGGGAATGGTGACTCTGAGGCTCTTGTTTGGGTTGGGCTATTGGTCTCACTCTTGGTTGTAGCACTTCTCACATGGCTGTCTTCTTCTGTGATTCTGTCACTGTGAAGGAGGAGCTAAAAATAAGGAGCTGATCACATTGGTTTGGATGGTTTTCAAGAAACATGGGTTTTAAAAGATAGATATCTGATGCCAAATTTTGGCTCTTTAGATTGCTGTTTAAGAATAGGTTCTTGGACTAAGTCTTCATTTCTTACCTCTTTGTACTAATCCTGATGGGAGAAAAAAGAGGCAAAGATAAGTTGGGAATTTGGGTTCTTGTGTCCTGCTTTAGAGGGTACAGTATAAGTCATTTGGGAGCCATAGAGCTAAACTTAGATTGGAATTATCTTACTTGAATTTCTCAGAACCTAAAACTGTACTTATTTCCATTCCATAGACTTTGCATCTACTTAGAGTGGACTAAAACCCACATTGATACAGGAATGGCGAAACACTAACAGGCCTTGGGGCCGGCCTGGTGGCGCAGTGGTTTAAGTGCGCACGTTCTGCTTTGGCAGCCTGGGGTTCGCCAGTTCAGATCCCAGGCGCAGACCTACACACCGCTTGTCAAGCCCTGCTGTGGTAGGCATCCCACATATAGAGTAGAGGAAGATGGGCACAGATGTTAGCTCAGGGCCAGTCTTCCTCAGCAAAAGGAGGAGGATTGGCGGCAGATGTTAGCTAAGGGCTAATCTTCCTCAAAAAAAAAAAAAAACCACTAACAGCCCTTGAAAATGTGTGAAAAACACCAAATTGTGCCAGATCCCTCAGACCAACCCTCTGAGGAAATGATGGCTGTTGCAGGGGAGGCACTGACTCTTCACAGTGTCAGTTTTGGGGATTCCTTTTCACCTTTTCTCTTATAAAACCGTTAAACCTGTGTGACCACATGGTAGTGTTTGATGTTTAAACAGGTAGACCTTTATCTTCTCTCATAGGATTCTTTTGAGGATTAAATTAAACGAGGCATATAAAGTGCCACCCACACACCTAAGCCATTATTTTTCTTAATATTGTTACTGTACATTCCCAATGATGCTTTTCTTCCTTGGGGTATTCCGTTCAGAGGGTGCTGTTGCTACTAATCTTTCTGGAATGCCTTCGCGATATGCTCTCAGAGTCTGTAACAAGTGTGTTTGAATATCCTCATCTTTGTATAAAGTTTTGGTCTCTGAGATTGAAGTTTAGGAAAGAGCTAAAAATCTGATGATTAAGGATGATGATCAAGCTAATGATGCCATTTGTAATTAAAAAGTGAAGCGTAACTCTAAACTAACAGACTGGTTTTCTCACTGGGAAGAATTTGGGTTCTCTGAAGGCAGCTTCCAGGGAGCAGTGTTTTGAACAATGGCCGCATTGTCTAGCCGCCCCCGGGGACTGCCGTGGAAGAGTTCAGGTTGTACTGTTGCGTAAGAACCAAAGTGGAAAGAAGACAGCGAATCTTTACCCATTCGGTGATTCCAGCTGCAGAAAGGGCAGTGTTCCACCCTTGAGAAGAGGATCGATTGCTGTGGACGGTTACGTTAGAGTTGGTCGGGAAGATGAATACTCCCTGGTGAACGGCGCCTGGGTGTTTTGGGAAAAGTGCTCAATCTGATACCAGAAGACCTGCAACCGTGAATATTTTGTGTGGCCTTAACCAAGTAACTGAAGCCTCTTTAGGCCTCAGATTCCTCATTTGGGAAATGGGAATGACTATTTGCCCTTTCTCTAAACCCACCTCCCTACCTCACAGGGTTTGTTGTGATCGTAAAATAAGATGTGGTGAAAGTACTTTTAATATATAAATTGCAACATAAAAATGAGATGGTGGTGTGTGATTGTTTTCTGTAAACTATTTTTCGAGTCTTTGATTTCATAAGAAGCTTTTGCTTCAGTCCCGGGTTTTCTTGTACGAGCACCCGCTGCGTATCTAACACTCCAGATGCGAATGGGCAGGTTTCTCTATCCTCGGCAGACTTACAGGCTAGTAATGACAGGCTAGTATGTCCAGACGAGAAGGTCACTGATAGACCAGGGGAGTACAGTAAGACCTTTATCTATTGTTGTTGAGAGGTATCACCGACTTCCAAAACATGTTTGTAATGAAGTCCTTCAAAAGAAAGATCCTTCTCAGTTTTCTTAAACCAACTATGGTGGGGTTTTGCTTGTTTTTGTTCTCCACAATCAAGCTATCTGAATGAAATTCCGAATCAATATATAGGCTTTATTGTCATCCAGATATGAGACATTCGGCCATTCTACATTTGACGCAGTTGTCCTCTCTCCTTGAAACATGGTTCGTTTCCTTGTCGCGAACTCACGCTCTTCTGGTCCTTTTCATATTAATTCTCTATCACTATGTAACAAATCACCCCAAGATGGATCATCTTAAAACCACAAATAGTACCTCCTAGTTTCTGTGGGTCCGGTATTTGGGTGTGGCTTAACTGGGTAGCTCTTGTGTATAGTCTCATGAGGGTCATCTCATGACGTCAGCTGGAGCTGCAGTCAGCTGAAAACTTGACTGAAGCTGGAGGATCCACTCCCAGGATGGTTCATCCACATGACTGTTGGCAGCTGGCCTCAGTTCACCACCAGGTGGGCATCTCTCTAGGACTGCTTGAATGTCCTCATGACACGGAGGCTGGTTTCCCACAGAGCACGTGACCCAAGAGAGCAAGGTGGAAGCTGCAGTGTCTTTCATGACTTATCCTCACAAGTCACACAGTGGCACTCCACACTGTGCTGGTTACACAGAGCCGTCCTATGCAGTAAGAGGGAATTACCCAAAGGTGTAAATACCAGAAGGTGGGGAGTGTTGAGGCCGTCTTGGACTCTGGGCTCTTGGCTCCATGCTCTGAGTCATCCTTCCTTTTCCATGAAAGGTAGCCCACATTGACAGCTGCATCGTTTTCTCAGCCTGCTTCCTGCCAGGAGAATTTTGGGAGTCTGAAGCCTCTTTATGTTTTGAACTGTATCCCTTTCCGTCCAAGCTGGTAGTGTTACTGTGAATATAATTATTTTGAACACTTTATGTGCCTCTTATGAGTCTTCTTGCAGTTCACTCCATTAGCAAAAGCCACCCCCACAAAACTCTTTAAGTCCTTCTCTTCTCTCTTTGGGGTAAGTTCTCTTGGGCTTCTGCACAGACTGCTGAGGGACAACACGCTTTAGCTTCTTAGAAGCCTTATTGTTTGTACAGCTCTCTAAGGCACCACCTTGGGTATCTCTGAGGTCTTGAAAGGTTTTATAGCCACAATAAAACCTTGGTCGTGGACTATCATTTCCACAATGTCGTATTGGCTACACAGGTTACCCTATTCCACATGGGAAGAGATTACACAAGGACATAAATGGCAGGAGAGTAGGGATCATTGGAGACCATGTGGGAGCCTGGCTACCGCACTCCTCTGTGTCTCATCACTTTGCTGACCGTCACCTCCACCTCAGTTTTAAACGGTGGATTTCTGCAGTGCTCAGTACTAGGCCCTCTTGTAACACCATACTCTCTCCCTAAGTGATCTCATCCAAGCCCCTGGCTTTAATCCATCTCTACTCCAAATATATACCACTAAATTTATCGTTCCAGCCCAGACCATTCTTTTGAGCTCCATCTATCCAACTACCTCTGCATCTCCACCTGGATATTTCACGTCCATCTTGCAGTCAACATGTCCAAAATGGAATTCACAGTCCCTCCAAATTCTTTCAGGGTTTCTTAGTAAATGTCACCAGTATCCATTGACTTTCTCATGCCAGAAATCTGGGATCTTCTTTGACCCCTGCCTCCCCTTCACTTGACACACCTAATCCACATTTCAGCCCATTCATTTTACCTTGTATTCATGCCAGTATCAGGTGTCACCTCTCTCCCCTAGACTCCAATAATATGTTTTTCTTCCACCTACATCCATTCCTGCCTCCCTTCAATCCATTCTCCACTTGCCAAGCAGAGCGATCCTATAAAGATGTAAATCTACGTTGCTTCCCTGCTCCAAACTCGGTCCATGTTTAGGTTGAGAATCCTTAATGTAACCCAAGAGGCTTTGCTTGGTCTGGCCCCTGCCTATCATGGCATACTCCTCCCACACCACACTGCCCTCTTTGCCCAAACTACACTGGCTTCTTGCAGTGTCCTGGGTTCCAAGCTTCTCGTACCTCTTGCCCCTTTTTGGCCTGTACAGTGTTTATTTCATGTCTCAGCTTACGTCTCTTCTTGGAGGCCTTCCGTGATCCCAACAATTTAGGTCTGGTCCTCCTGCTGTAAGCTCTCACAGCACTCTGCTTTTCTTTTATAGCCTGTATCACAACTGTAATAGTTTGTGTAATTATTCGCCTAGTGCCTATAAGCTCCATGAGGGCAGGATTTTGTCTTGCTTACTGCTGTATCCCTAACGCCTAGCACAAAACAGGAGTTCAATAAGTATTTGTTAAATGATTGCTGTTTTTCCTCTAAGGGCGAATTCCCCTTTCTGGTGCCCACATAATTTACTGTTTCTAATCTGTCGAAGACTTGGGAAAATAGCCAGCCTTCTAGAATTGCATGTTAACTAAGTCAAGACTAGATGAGGTCTAGTAAATAAGTGAGGGCATTCTGCATGTGATAGGGTGGAAATATGAAACGCTGTGAGATGTTGAGAGAAGGGGAAAGGATGTGGGCAGAGTGGAAACCTACTTGTCCTCCCTCCATGTCGCAGCTGAAAACTGACCAATTTACTCAGTCTGTTATCTGAAGAGTGACTCCTTTGCTTTCTAAGGTCAGAAGATACGGCAGTTAAGGAATTCCATTAGTTCTAGGGTTCCCAGCTGCCCTCACCTTCCCTCAACCTTTCATTGAATCCCCCAACCTGCATAAAGCTATGAAACGATGCTCATGCCTGTGCGTATGGGGTGCTCCTAGGCACCTGGGCATAAGCCACCCAGCACGGCCACCCCAACCACTGCTTCCAAGGAGTAAAGGGCGGTTATCCAGAAGCCTGTGGAATGATCGTGCTATACGACAAAGAGCACTGTGGTTGAACCCAAAGGTAATGCCAAAGCTGCCCATGTCTGCAGAAAGGAAGAGGGGCCCAGCAGGCCTGTTGAAATTGTTGACGCAAATAATCAGTAATCATTCTATTGCAAAAGAACAGGAGAGAGTTTATTTAAACTGAGGACTATAACCCAGGAGTCACAGCCTTCGCAAGGGAAGAAAGCGCCCTGGAGAAGTGTGATGTTCAGTACAGTTATATACCATTTCCAAACAAAGAGACATACATCAAGCATGACAGGGGTACATTCTTTCAAGGGTTCGAGGAGATATTTTGTTACAGATTAGCACATACCCAGCGGGTCAACATGACCCTGGTGTCACAGGAAGGGAGACCTATCTTCAAAAGACTACTGGCATCATAAGAAGGGAGGCATTTATTTTTGTCTTCAAAGAGGACATTCTTTAGGCTAATGATTAAAGCAGATGTACAATGTATGTTTGACAGGCTGTAAGTCAGCCTTCTTTGGCTCAAACAAAATTCAGGCCAAATCAAGTTCAAATTGAAATGGCTTCCCTATGTACTTCAACATATAAAAATTTCTTATATCAAAATACTTGATCTCCTTAGTGCTGTTCTGGCAGATGGTGCCACCTTAAGAGCAGCAGCAGTTACTGGTGGTCCAAATGACTCATTCTGGCAGCAGATAATCTAGGCTATAGTATTTCTCAAGCCTACAAAGTAGGCCTAGAGATTCTTTTCAAGAAAAAGTTTTATTTTCCTAAATCACCTAACATGGTCATTATAAGAAAGCCAGTATTGCTTTGGTGTAGTTTTAATCAGTTTGCTAACAATTGTGGGGGCATTTCCTACCTAGTATTCTTTTCCAAATGCCCTGCAGTTCTCTTGGCCTTACAGACAGGGTGGAAGAAGCAGGATTCTACTTCCAGCCCCAACTCAGCTATGCACCCTGGGGCTAATGACCTCGTGTTAGCTGGCCAACACCAGCAGTTCATGCCTTATTAAAATTGTCAGTTTGCTAGCATCCCTTGCTTTGGAGAATGACACTGCACTCTCCTTTTTGATGAGAGAAACCCATTTCCAGCCCTTCCATGAGTTTGAGCTCCACCTGCAAAATCTGGCCAATCAGAAGACTGCCATTCTTCTGACATCAGTCATTGGGCCAAGGTGGGCCAATCAGCATCTTTCAACTTTTCTCTGGGAGCTGTTTGGAGAAACTCTTTCTCCTAGCGTTGCTTCATTGGGAGGATAGTCTTTGGGGCTGCCGTGGACTCTCCTACCCAGAAGGAGAGACTGAGTTCTGAAAATGTTGTTTGGGCTCCTGGCTCCAGCTGTGAGTTAAGTACAGCAGAGCCAAGAAATGGGAGAAGGTCCTTGAAGACATCACTGGGGCCCTGACACCCAGCCGTGCCCAAGCCTAACTTCATTCTGGGTCATCCTGTCACATGAGTCTCGCTCAGTACCTTTTCTTTTCTGCTTAAAGTCTCTTGAGTTGGGTTTTTCTCCGTGAAGTGGAAAAGGTCTTGGCTTATAGTCTCCACAGTCCACTCCTGGGCACAGGTGAAAATACTCTGTGGTTTCCCAAGGCACTGACTCTCCGTTTACCTGGGTGCCCCCTTCCTTACAAAAAAGGAGCCTTTCTTAGCCCCTGGGGCAACTTAACACTTGCTAGAGTTCTCCCAGAATCGGACTAATTTCCTTTTCTAGAATCATGTATATTTGGGTTGCCCCCAAGACACTACGCGGTCTAGTTCAAACTCTCTTGTTCTAAGATGATAAAATTGTTTGACAAAGTGATTTGTTCCCCAAAATTTTAGCATCCTATGAAGGCAGG